ATTCATTAAATCATTTATTCGAATCTCTCGTGAAATTACAAGCATACTGAGTGGGAATCCGCGTAGGTGCTTTATTTAGGAGGAGGAAACGTGAATATTCGGCATTTTAATCCACGCGGGGGCTTACCCGTATTATAAATATTTCCACTGAATTTTAATCGCCGAGTCGCGACGCTCGGTGCGTTGGGAATTACGCAATTGCAGAAACCGCTATCCGCGAGCATTGAATTGATCGATTGTCGAATTAAAATTTCATTAATTCGTCGAGGAAATTAATCGTTTGAGAAATTAACGTTTTCTGTCTAACATTTACATACTAAGCATATATAATCGCGTTCCTACCTGAATAAGAGCTAATATTAATTTTGTCAGAAGGAACCTGGGAAGCTTCAAGAGTCTCAGGCAAATCATTTTGACCCCTCTGGTAGTTCCGATGTTAATAAACCGAAGAACTAATTTACTACTTCTATAAGAATATGAATACTGAGTGATTGTCTGGCTTAAACTAATAAGCCTCGAGACGGCCCATGTTTATGGCGGCCATTTAAGGACGAGACCTTGGGAAAGTCTCAGATGTGTTCCACAGATGCGTCGACCATCCAAGCAGTCGGGTAAAAAATGGCGTCAGCAGGCTTGAGGGTGAAGTCCTCCGAAACGAGGGTAATCACCCTTACCAGAGACTAATATACAAAAACAGCAAATGATGCATAAAAGCATCTCAGGAGTACAGAGGATTTTACAAGAATTTTTAAGGACTTTTAAGGATTATTTAAAGATTGCAATGTGACAGGTACCATCGATCACTAAATATAATTCAAAAGAAAATTATTGCGAGAGGACTGCAAGAAAGTTCTGAAAGCTTCGATTAAAGGCTTTGGACACTTCTTTTAACGGTTTATTAAAATTAGCAAAATTAAAAAATAAAATAAAATAAACAAATAATCGGCTCGTTCGAACGTCGTTGTCAATATATTGCCGCTCGTCGGCCGCTATTATTTCGTCGGTATAATGCCTTGCACGACTACTTATCGGCCTACTTATCACCAAGTCGCTGATGACGGGCCACGACCCTTGCCGATGTTAAGCCTAACTTGTGTTACATTATGAAGGTATATTTTCGTAAATGTATTCGTTATTGTTGAAGTGAAATCGAATTAATATTAAAAATAGACTCTGCGTCCTAGCGATGTGAGGGTTATCTCTTTTACCCATTTTTGTCTTTTGTTATGGCGTGTCTTTTGTCTCCACTTTTCTGGAGACGCCTGTTACCTGTTAGGCTCTAAACAAGCAAGGCAGTTCTAACTGTCAGCCACATATTTTTCCACTTTTCCATGTGATACATTTTCTTTCTAATATTACCTCTCAATAGTTATTTAACGTGTTCGTGCATCTCGCTAGGATACGCGGAAATCGAAAATTAAAGTTGCAAAGCCACAGTGAGGGTACAGAGCGTAAATAGTCGGCTGCCCAAAGACCTCGTTCTTTCTAAAATTTCCATATCACCTGCATAATAATCATATATATTTTCTACCCTTTTTACTCGATACGTTCTCTTTCTAATGTAACCCCTCGTCAATTATTAACGTATCCGTGCATCTCGCAATGATACGAGGACAAAGCACGTTCCTTGAAAATCACAGTTGAAAAACCACAGTGAGGGTACAGAGCGTAAATAGTCGGCTGCCCAAAGACCTCGTTCTTTCTAAAATTTCCATATCACCTGCATAATAATCATATATATTTTCTACCCTTTTTACTCGATACGTTCTCTTTCTAATGTAACCCCTCGTCAATTATTAACGTATTCGTGCATCTCGCAATGATACGAGGACAAAGCACGTTCCTTGAAAATCACAGTTGAAAAGCCACAGTGAGGGTACAGAGCGTAAATAGTCGGCTGCCCAAAGACCTCGTTCTTCCCAAAATTTCCATATCGTGTCCCGATACTTCCCATTTAGTATCGATATATCAGCGATGCAATTTCTATCTGCCAGGTACAGCTTGCAATTTTACATTTGCCGCATCGTCGTGGCGGTTTGCACTGGTCTGTCGAGCGGAAGCGCTCGTGGAATCTATCAGACCGCATCGCGGCATCGATCGTTGCGTAGAAACGGCAAATTAACGAAAGGACCTTGGCATTGACGAAATATCTGGGTCGGGAGTATGCGAAAGGACGAAGCCACGAAATCCTCGTACTTACCACGGACTCTGAATAAAAGAGAAAAAAAATATAAAATGAAACGAAAGGAAAGAATTAAGAAAAGGAACGAGTTTGAACGTTACTCGGGGAAGGAGTAAACTCCGTGTTCTCGAATTTCCACGTAATTCCGGGACTCTTTGACCCGCTAAATTCGCTACATCCAGCGAGACTTGAAAAAAATGTGTAGGTATAAAGGAAAAGTTTGATCGCGACTAACGAAGCATCTTTCGCAACGCTGATTTCTGACTAAACGAAACTTCGGTAAATTCATCTCGCAAACGCTACCCAGTCGTTTCGAGGAGAATAATAGATTAACATAGAACAGGGAGATGGAACAGGGAAAAGTTGGGAGAAAGTTGGCGAAATTTCGTCGGTCCCTAGGTAGACGGTTCCTTACGTTGCCGAAATTTTCCATATAAAGTATTCTCGCAGCTTTCTTCAGACATCGCGTTGGAAACGAGCTTTCTTCGTCGATCAGAGACGTCGAAGTCCCGTCGTGAATCTTTAGAATCGCAAAACCTGTATAAATTCTGACAGTCGAGTAATTACGAATTGAGTGTTGTTCGTTACGGAAATTTTCCAGCGAAGTAAGTAACGAGTTTTTTATTTTTAACGAGGTTTGTCGAGATTTATATTTTTCACTGTAACATCTCGAGCCTCGATAATGGAAACATTCCAAAGATTTATAGTCGATATTACATTTAAAGTAGTGTAACGATGCTAGAAGAAATACTGAAAGGAAACAGTTTTATGTATTTACTTATGCACGACCTTTCTTTTATATTATTGGCAAAAATATCATCGATTTTATAACAGGAAAATTTCGAAATCTTACTTAAGTGTAATGAAAATATCTTCAACTATAAATTGTTAATATAATTAATACTACCAAGCCTTTTTAATTAATCAAAAACATCAAACGAAAAAGCCGAGAGTTCCTAGAAATAAATTTATTAACTCTCATTTATTAATATAATTCAAAAACTCAATCTGCAAAAATGCAATTTCCGAACATTCGCGAGAATACTCTGATCGATCGATTCGTCGTTATTTCTCGCACGACTTTTCTTTTATATTATTCCCAAAAATATCATCTATTTTATAGCAGGAAAATTTCGAAATCCTGCTTTCGTGGAATGAATAAATCTTCAACTATAAATTGTTAATATAATTAATACTACCAAGCCTTTTTAATTAATCAAAAACATCAAACGAAAAAGCCGAGAGTTCCTAGAAATAAATTTATTAACTCTCATTTATTAATATAATTCAAAAACTCAATTTGCAGAAATGCAATTTCCGAACATTCGCGAGAATACTTCGATCGATCGATTCGTTGTTATTTTTCAAAATTAATTTGTCGATCACGTTTCTCTTTGCTCTTTACATCAGCCTGTGCTTTCAATGTAAACAACGAACCAACATTTTTCCCTCCACGTATTCACCGTGCAATTACCAATTTATTTTGCCAATACTTTAAGCGAATTCGACGAAGAGTCAGGAGCACGAGCGTTAATTGAATTCTGCACTTTGTTTTCACATTTCCACCGTCGTATCTATGGCGACATGCGATGGAAGGTATCGGGGAATACCGTTGGCAACGAAGAATCGCCGGAGTCGGAGATATCGTATGGTTTTTCACTGAAAGAGGCGCGGCGCGGTTTTACAGCGGTAATAAATTAAAAACGAGTGTCGGTTATCCTGAAAAAGGTAGAAACAACGCGGTTTAATTACTCTTTGGCCCCTTTCAGTGCCAAGAGCCTGTTAACGTTACCCCTGGTATTTGTTTAAAAGTGGCATCTCCATGGTCGATGTTAATTATCATTTTCGGGACAATGGATTCATCCGGGACTCGAAGTCGTTGAAGTTGCATGACATCGAGCACAATGCAGCTCGTGTAACCTACATCTACGGTTCGCAGTTCTTTCTTCCTTTTCTGATTCGCAGAAGTATTTGGTCGGGCGTATTGTATCGAAAAATTCGGATTAAACCATGATTTTACCAGATTATCACCGATCGTTCGCGAAGTTTTTGTATAGTCCATTTCGGAGAAAGCTTTCGCGTTTGCGAGTGAAATTAAAGGGCATGCAACTTTTCCACTAGCTTTTTTCCTTTCTCTGTCATGGAAACTTGAGTCTTAAAGACGAATCTGCCGTTCGAAGTTTCACCCTCCTAATGCTATCTCGCAAACTATTGTCAAAGATACGGAGAAAGTTCGCCGAGAAGCAATTTGTAGGCACTTTTTCTTGTTTGTTACGAGACGAGATAAGATTCCCGAGTTCCTGCGGATTTTGGTCCTTTATCGCAAATAACTTGCGACTGGTGCCACGGCTGAACAGCGTCTTAAAAATATTCCCCTTCCTCGTCGAAGAAATTTTTAAATATCTACTGAATTTCCAGAATTGACATTACCGAAATAAACAATTATTTCATTCATCAATCATTGTGAAAAAATCCGTATTCTCTTGTTTACTCTTTTCTCTTTAAAATTTAAAAATGTCACAGCTTGTCAAAAAGGAAAAAAAAAGAAATTAGGAGGAAAAGAATGTTAAAATAAATTACGTTATCTTTACTCGGTATAATTATGTCAATTTCTAAGTAACAATTACACGCTGTCGTGATACGAGGAGAATTTTCCACGAAAAGCTCATTTTCCCTCTATTCAACTCGCGTCGTTTCGAAAATCGGAGACACGCGCTTTCATAATTTCGCTTTCAACTGCCCTCGCTGACACACGTTCCAATTATCACTTTCCGGGCGCTAATGAGCGCCAGCCGTCAATCCCGATATCAATCAGCAGTCAGCCGGAGATCTGATAAACGCACGTACCTTTGATGAAATCCACGGCCATTTCCAGGCCGTACGTGTCTTTGTCGCAGTCGTCGAGTATATGGGCACCGATCTTGACACCGGGCACGATCTCACGATCGTTGAGCCTGTCCAACGTGTACAACATCGCCTCGAGCGCTTGGACACCACCCTGTGGCATCACTGGGCCGCAGGTGATCGTGTCTTCTCTCTCGTGCACCATCATCAGTCCACCCAACACTAGATCACCTTCCACCACCGCGCTGTGCTTAACCGGCCATTGATTCGGAGGCTCGAGTTCGCGCGAGGAGTTATCCGCGTCGCGCGAAGACATGTCATCGATGGTCACAACGAGACCTTCGTCGGTGGTCTTCGTGGATGTAACAACAGTATCAAAAGCGAATGCCTGCTCGTCGTCGTTAATTAACGGCACAGTCGACGTTTCGTTCGGAAATTGATCGACAAGATCCGTCGACAAGATGGCGATCTCAGTCGTAACAAGAGAATCATCAGCAGGGTCCACCGTAGCTTGCTCCGTCCAGACCGATACGGTGGATCGATCGCGAGCAACCGAGACAAATTTCCACGAACCATTCAGCGTGACTCCTGCAGATTCGAGGATACCCTGGCTGACCTTTGGTGGCGACAAATCGATCTTCAGGGACGGTACGACACTTTGGCGGACCTCGTCTTTGTTCCCCATTGACGTGGAAGTTTCACTCACCGCAGAATTCCCGGTGCTCGTAGAATCGCTAGTGGAATCACGTTCCGGATTCGCCGGCGTAGAATTTCCAACACTCGACGACCTGGACTTCCGTTCTCTCGATGGACGATTGTTGACCGTGCTAGTCACAGGTCCCGAAGAGACGAGCCTTTTTGATGCCGGATTCTGGGGATCATTGCTACTCTTTTTGCCCTCTCTGGCAGGATTAGTCGTGTCCGTCGTTCGATCATGCAGTGAGCTGTTCCTATGTCTCTCATTTTTCACGGAAGATCCCGTGATCGGTCCATTAGCCCTAATTTTGTTGGCACTCGTCCCGGTATTCTGGTTCAACGGCTCCATGGGTCTCGGATTAACAGGATTTCCGTCTTTCGGTTCGATTAGGGAGCGATTAAACGGTCTCCTGTACTTTTTAGCTTCGCTATCCTCGGTTGGATCCGAAGATTCGGGACTGGCTGACAGGGGGCTAGCTTCGTTCGCTATCTTCTCACGATTTCTTCGTTTTTGTCCAGCTGCCACGCTTTCGGATACGTTTGGTGCTTGGAATGATATCAGAGGAAGCCTCCATTTCGACTGTTCCTCGTTGTACACGGTCGATTGCTCTGGCTGTGTGTCCCCGTTAGGATTCCCGGGAGTCTTTCGTCCTTGTTCCATCGTTGACGAGTTTCTGAGAGGATCGTTAGCATTCCTTTCGTCGAATTGAAAGAGGCCATTGCTCTTGGAGACAGAGCTGCCTTCGGCTAGACTGTTGATATCGCGTCTTAGATACGTGGCATTCCTCTGAGCCGCAATCGAGTCACGCAGGGAATTCCCCGTGGCTTTCTCAGGCTCCTCTGTCGCGTTACTTGGAGCAGACGTTTCTTCCCACGTCGTATTAATCGCTCCTTGCATCTCGTCAATCTCCGCCCATGACGCGTCTGATTCCATTTCATCCATTACCCCGGAGACAGATTCGTTATTCAATTTCGCGTTGTTCGGATTCAATCGCGGATTAATCGCGACTGACGGGTTCGTTAAGGATGTCTCGTTATTCCGTGCCTCGTTCAGACCTATTTTATCGATAGAGCTTTCGTTTCTGATCGTCGAATCGGATTCGTTGTTGAATGCGAAAGCACTCGCGACTGGCTTCGCGTTGTCTCCATCTGTGAGGTTGTTTCGAGGCAAACTGAGCTCTAATTCCTCGTCGATATTTTCCACACGACTGGCCGTCTTATTAGCCAAAGGACTGTTCGATGTCTCGCGAAGGTTAACGTCCCATGAAGCTTCTTCTCTGCTCGTCGAATCGGAAGCAACAGCGTCGCTGGGTACAGTGAAATCGTCCTCTCCTGGAGCCGGAGAGGAGTGTCTGGCCCCTTTGTCTTCCAGATCATCGTCTCGTGTCGTTGATCTCCGTTTCAAAGAGATTCCATTTAATTCTCGCGCGTTCTCCGCCTCTCGTCTCACCGGGGTTGAGTTATGACTCGGCGCGCCGTGTCGCGAGCTTTCGACCCCCGAGGAATTATAGCTCCCACGTTGGGACCCCTCGGAATCGAGTCTGGTCTTCCGAGGACCATCGTTAGACAGTTTCGAATCGCGTGAGAAAAACCAAGTCTCAAGATCGATCGCGTCTCCACGATCAGATATCCTCGACTTGTTCAGCTTCTTCCTAGAGCTTTGGGTCGATCTCTCGAGCCTGCTTCTGTCGCTCATCCGATTATACACGGACCTGCTAGCTCGTCTATCCTTGGACCTTCCAGCTGCGATTAACTTGTCCGACTTGGACTTGGACTTTGTCTTTGACTTTCCACTTAGTCCTCGATTAAAGGGGACAGAAAGAACAGAGTAGCCTGTCAGGTATCGTTCCTCGGTCCTCTCTTCTTTGACATGGTCTATCGAACTCTTCGACGAAGCGACATCCCCTTGCCAACTACTCTTAGCTACCGAACCACTCCCCTTATCGGATGTTCCTGTTTCGCCCCTGGGATCCCTGGTGCCTCGTCGTCGTCCCACGTCCCTAGCCTGCCTTCCAGAAGTCGTCAACGAGTCGTAATCGCGCGAAACCAGCCCGACGTGACCGTAATACGGATGTCCATGGTCCAAGCTCTCGCTTCCTCCTCTAATTGTTCCTTCTGTTGTCGTTTTACGGTCCCAGGCCGCTACACCGCGTCTCTGCGTCGCGTGGTAGAGCCTGGATGTGTCCTTTATCGCGGCGCGACGACTCCCGGGGGATAAACTCGGTTGTTCTGCAACTTCCAAGCCGAGACCGGTCGATTCTCCAGCGAATGGCACGCCTGACTCGGTTGTTCGAGGGTTACGAGATGGTTCTGCTGGATTCTCGAGCCCGGATTCGGCCAGATCCTTCCGCAAGCTCGATGCGTCGTCATCGAAGTCGTCATTATCGAGGAGATTCGTGGCCCTCGGGGAAACTGTCTTCGTCACGCCTTTGAAGACGATGTCTCGGTTAACGTATGGACGGTCCGATGGCGTTTGCGCGACTGTGGATGGCAGGTCGGATATTTCTCTGGGAAACGGAGTGTTTGGTCGGTTCGGCGAGTTCACAGATGGTTCGGTAGATTCGCGACTCTCGTAAACGGTTCTGCTGCCGTTAACTGGCAGCTCGGCGGTATCATAATCGAGCGGATGGCGTTCGCCTGCCAAACTGTGCCGCAGAATCGACAGCGCCACTGAAACGGCCAGTAGGGCCAGCCAATCGTTGTTCCGCCGCATCACCTGCCTCCCGTCGCGAACATGTCCTGATCCTGCAATCAGATCAAATTTTCCGAACTTAGATATATATGTAGGAGATCGTTATTCCGGGGGGATTGACTTAAGATGGTATTGTTGGTTTCTCTATAGAATAAAATAAGTTTATAAATAGAATGACAGTGGATGACTATGAAATAAGATAGATTCGCTCTTCTGGTCTTTCTTAAAACTGACTAACTTTGGACTTTGACACACTGAAAATTCTTGCACCAAAAACAGACTGCAAAAAGACTAACTTGGACTGGGTTAAAGACTAACTTGCTCGTGCTCTTGCACCCTTATTTAAATCATTCATTCTGTCCTTTTTCGTACCCAGGCTTTCTTATTAATCATGCTCTTTCTCATGCAATCTCGATGGGTCAGCAATTTCAATCACTCCAGGTACTTTAATCCTCTTGCACGTGGTCACTTTCGTTCTAAGTCTAAACACTTTTGACATTCTTTCAGGGCCGTACTCACTCCAATCCTACATATATATTTCGTATTGTTTTCTCCTATTTTTTAAACAAATTATTTATTTCTTCTTTTTTTTCATTTTCTTCGTAATTTTGAGTGAACGTATTGGGATTAAATGTGACTGTTTTAAGACTAAGAAATTTTTATTGTATCTACCAGTGATTTTATCACGCTTTTGTATAAGGGATTTAGAAATTTTTGCCTTGAAAAATTTGGTTTAAGAAGGAACAAATTTTTAAACGTATGCAAATTTATTATTCGATAGTTTCGATCACCTTTTCCCATTTATGGGCGGATACGGGATTAAATAACGAATTGTAGATTGTCATTATTGAATTATGGGAGCCACTGGAATGCACAGTGGTAATTTTATCCTGATTGAAATCTATTCCCGCACTGTTGGAAATTTTTAATTAACCAGCCTCATTCCAGCCGCTAACGGAGTTATTAATTACCCTGTGTTATTGGGGCACAGGCTATTCGGAGGAATGTTGATCATTTTCGAAATTACAGAACGAAACCGCATTGCTAGGACAGTGGCCATTAAATGCGCATAGCCGGGATACATATTAGCCCTGATCGGCCATCAGTTAGGCTTGGAATATTGCCATTGAATTTCTTGCATCCAAGTTGCACAACAGATTTAGCTGTTTGCATCTAGTGCACGCGTCTTCGATTGATTCGCACGACGCCAAATTGCCATACTGCTCTGAGTATCGTTTTTCATTTCTATAAGTCAAACTTATCGATTTATTCGATATTCATTTTGCAGCGTTCCTGCTTAAGATCCATAGCAGTCTATTATTTCGTCTAATTAAATTTTGATAATTAATTAAATGCGGTTAACAAGAGAACTGCTGACCTGTAATGTATAGCTTAATATACTGTGTGCTTGCATGACGAAGATAAATGGGCAAAATCGCGTTTCTATTTAGATAAAAATCAGCGTTAATTTTGTCAGTAGTATATTTTTACTAATTACTTCGTGTACAGTATTAAAAAGAATTACTTTCATATTTTTAACAACATTTCCTAAGCTATTATCGTCAATTTTGCCTCGCACGTAATTCTATTATTACTAATAATATTATTACCAATTACTCTATTATACATAGGAATTTCGGTAATTCCAGAAACTTCCAAATTACAATCAATAATGAAACATTCGTGGTACAAATCGAAGCATAAATCATGAGCAAACGTAATTTCTTTTGCCCAAAATCGGGTCGATGCCTCTCGAAATCCGCTTCAAAGGCTCACATAGTCGGTCGAAGCGGCACATAATCACCACACCATACAGTAATCCCATAAGCACTCTTCCAGAAAATGATCCTTCGTGTAATCACCATTCTCTGCTGTCTCGTCGGGGATTATCGCCATTGGGTTGAAACATTCTCTAATTTAACATCGCCATTCCTTTCGCAATCTCGTCACCCACTGTTCCTGCGATCCTTTGTACCTCCGAACAAATTCCACGAAGCTGTGTTCGTTGTATCCAGCTAGTTATCTGGTTGCAAGCTCGCGCGACGTAACATGGCGGACATTAGCTTCTCCTCCGATCCATCGAGTCCCAACGAAGACACTTTCTCACCCTCTCCCACCCTCTGTCGTCCTCGTGTCACCTGGAACACGAATCACGCTGAAACTTCCGAACACGCGTCCCGACTTAATGCGTTCCTGGATAAATACCTATTGGAACGATTGGGATCGGAAGGTCTCATCGCGGTGGTCCCTTTATCGGCGAAGGGCGTGCACGATTGATAGGATTGAATCGCAGGGAATGAAGCTCGTTTCGCTTCGGCCCTGGGAACAGGCGCACGTCGGATAAATTGATAGAGCTGAAAGAATTTGGCGGGAAGGGGCTGGCGGAGAGCAGCCGAATGTCTTTCGTTGGCAGGTTATTGCAAGATAAACGTGACGTGGTATCATTTGCTTCCAGGGTTTATTAACTCGATTCTTCTCCGACGGATATTTTCCACGTTAATTCGGCCCTCTCTCGATACGACTCGATTTCCCGCTGAGTGGATTAGGTCGATTCTTTTCGACCACCAACTCGAACCGTATCTTTGATTGCTTTGACTTAATTACTTTTTTGCGACGCGGATTGCGCTGCAGGTCAGGTTCTCCCTTCTGAACGGGATTGCAGATCCTTCGAATCGATGAATATTCCAAGATGGTGGGACGATGCACGTTACTCGGCGCGATGACAAGATTGTGTTCTCGGGGATGACTGGTCGGAAATTGAAAGCTGCGAGATTTATGGTGCTTAAATTGCTCGAGTCTTCCCCTTAAATCGCGATAAGTAACGTGAAGTACATGAAAAAGCATACTTCTTGTTATCTGCCGGTGTTAATAATAATTATACAAAACATGATGTAACATGACATGAGACTAGATATAGTCTTTTACGATATGAAATATAATATTATTTTATAATTTTTGTGCTTAAAATTATTAACCCTTTGCACTCGTGAGGAGCTCCTCAATCGCCACTTAATCAGATTTTAAAGATGGATATTAATTAATATATGAAATTTACAATTGCCCAATGGTGAGTGGAATATCGAAGTAAAATAATTGTAGATCCTAATTTGCATACGATTTCTTATTTACTGCTATAGAAATATTGTTGGCTTTATGGCAGAAAGTCTTCGAATTACTATTTTCCTGTAACGAAAAAATCCTTTACGTACTTACATGCAGATCAGCTCGATATTGTCTATTATATCACATTGGTATACAGAGTGTTTAACACTAGAACTACCAACCCAGTGAAAATGACTGGTCCCTGAATTTTCCTTTTTGCAATCACCGAACACATACATCTGCTTTAAGAATAAAATTGATATTAACTCATATTAAGAAAGAACTATAATCAATATATTCACTCATATTCATCGTACCACTGAAATTACTATAATCTGTGCACGTTATAGCTAGGTACCCATTAAAGATCCAATGTTAAAGAATTTAAAGAATTTATGATTTATCATTTATGGCACTCGAAGAGAGGAGTGGATATTGGTCAGAAATTTCTGACTCCTCTCAGAGATCCTGAACACATAACCTCCGCAAGTATCCCAGAATCGCGCTCTTTAAGCACTCTGAATAGTCCATTGTCGAGCTATAAACTATTCGAAAGATGCCAAAATTCGCGTGTAGCAAGTGAACGGATATTTTCCTAAACTCTCCGCATGTTCAACGACCCTGGCACGTCTCGTTTCATTCCATCGACGAGAGTTTCGTTCTCGCCAAGCTGCGCGGGTACAAGTTGACTCTGAAATTACCGCTAAAAGCGGGGCGAGCTTGGAGGAAGACAAAAAGAGGAGGGAAAAAGGTACAGCTATTGGCATCCTAGCGTGGACGTCGAGGACAATACCTCCATCAAGAGATATTAAAAATCGTCCAATTTCTAAGGACATCGAATGCGATTCTTCGTCAGGACGGGACTCGATCCCGCGGATGGCAGTGCTAAAGAAATTTCCCTTGATATATTGGGGGAGAAAGAGAGATTCACGGGCTCATCCCAGAGTCCACGTTCGACCGTTCTTTCACCGGTGTACGTGTCTCTAGAGACGAAAGCAGACGGTTTTTGTCACGGATAACGACGTTACCGTCAAACACGACGGATGTTCGGGACACAGCCGTGCCGATAGCCTCGCTTGTTGGCCCACCTTCAATGGTTATCGGGCAATGGAGCATGGTCGTCGCGTGATACACGTGCGATTCCACGGTGTTCCATCTGTCAGTCTCTGGATCAGACAGCGGATTGATAATGCAGGTACGGGTACAGCTCTCGTTGTCTGTGCTCGTCAACGACTTCAGACGCTAGACTGGGCTCCATGAATGAAACTGTTACGATGCCAGTGAATGCACCGTTCATCCTAGCACCCTTGCAAATGTTGATTAACGGCCCACCGAAGCAATTTGACGGTTTAATCCCGTTCGGAGCGCGGATTCGAACGGACTGAATACTTATGCAGTAGCGTGTAGCAAGAATCGTATTACCTTGATTAATGAAGTAATCGATCGCGTCTCTAGAAGGTTAACGTAAAATCGGGCAATGTTGCGAGAGATGTTTTTGCTGATCATACGAATCAGAGCCGAATTTGTGGAATTAGCTTTTGGAGGCCAAATCGAGGTCTTTATGGCACTTGGAATTTTGTTTGGAACGTAATATAACGCTATCGATACGTATTGCCACTGAATCGTTAATCTAATTCAATTTAGGCATTAATCGAATCGGTATTTCAGTATTTATCGGTTGCAATATTCGCTAGGTACCAAAATTTAGAATGGCTAATTTCGACCGGGAAATTGTCGACTTTGAATTATAATAACTTTGTGAAAAGAAGACGTACAGAGTTTTACCTTAACTCGTTTTAGAGAGCAAAGTCTCTACCTTTGCAGCTGTTATTGAATTTTTTAGGAGACGCTTCGTGCTGCAGTGCTGGACGTGAAAGTCGAGGTGGCCTTTTTCTCCAGGATTTTTCGAATTCAAACTA